ATGTGGAGGAAGGAGAGAGGAAAGAGGAAAGGAGGGATATGAGAGAGGAAAAGATAGGAAAGGAGAGAGGAGAGAGGAAAGGCTAGGGTTAAGGAGAGATGAAAGAGTCAAGGGCAGAGAAGAGAGAGGAAAAGGAGAGAGGAAAGGAAAGGAGTGGAGGAGGTGTGTGGAGTGGTGTCTCCTCCTGCTGGAGGACAGATGTTACTGCAGGTGGAGGAAGAGCTGCTGTATATTATTATATTAATGTGTTCATGTCTCATCATCTGTTTATTTAAGATGATTCTTCACTAACGAGATACAAACAATGCGTTAATTATTTAACACAAAAGTCAATTTAAGTTACTTTAAGTTTTAAAGTGTTAATAAATAAATTCTCTCAGCAACAGTAACATGTTACTATAAAAAGTATTCAATGTTCATTATGAAGGACAGAAACATGTAGGAAAATATCAATAATATGTATCTATATCACTAATATTGTTGTTATCATTTTAATTATCTTTGCATTATAATGCCTTAACTTTCACACTTTATACAAAGTTCATACATCATATTATGAACAAACATGGATCAAAGTTACCAACCTGAAATATTACTTCATAAGAAATAGCGTTACATTTAGTGTCATTATAGACTAACTGTAAAGAGAACTCAGGTGAGGAGAGAGGAAACAGGAGGGAGGAAACAGGAGGGAGGAAAGACAAACGTGAGCAGAAAGAGGGACGCGGATGAAGACCTCTGAGGACGAAGGGACGGATGGACATGTGGACATTATGCAAAGGAAACAGTGCGTGTTATCCAGAATTACTAAGATGTCACATTCATTCGCGTTACTAACCAGACATGTGATCCACACTCCGCACCGGCTGGTGGCGGTAACGCGCCGATTATTGATCATCTACCGCCGACCAACTTAAAACAAGACGAAGAAGAAGAAGAAGAAGAAGAAGAAGAGGAAGAGGAAGCAGGAGGAGGAGGAGGAGGAAGAAGACGACGACGACAACAACATGCGGGAGCGTCGCAGAAAGTCTCCAGTTCAACTTTAACATCTTAAAGATACATCCTGTGAGTGTGTCCGTGATACACAGTGTGTGTTCAGTGTGTGTTTGTGTGTTAACGGGCGGTGAACCGTTTGAACTTTGCTTTTACCGTTTAACCGGAAATACGGAAACACGGAAATAACGTCGTTTGTTCGTTTTTCGTTTTAAACCAAAAACGAACAAACGGAAATGTGCGTCATCTCGTTTCCCTCAAAAAACAACCGGCGTTTATCTCTCCTTGTAAGACATTTTCGTAAATGTGGCCCTTTCTCAATAACTGCGCAGAAAACCGACTTGCGTTCTCGCGAGAATAAACTCGGGAATCCTGACTCAGCTTTTGACTTGATGACGTCACCGCGTCAATACATTTTAATACAGTTCTTGACTGTTAAGTTTTTTTCTGTATATGTATATATTAGTAACTATTTCATCAAAGTATTTGGTCTTTTTGGTATTAGACACGTAATTATGCTTCACCTTTTTTTATCTAAACCCTTAATACTTCGTCCTTAAAAAGTCATATAATATCCATTTTGCATATCATGTTATCCTCGCAACAACACCGCGACCTGTATTGACTATACTGCATGGGGGTCCAAGTATCAATACAATCGATTATGTACCATTTCAATCGATTTGTAATCGATATATGTCGTCCGGAATGCCGGTTTGCGGAGCACAGATCGATTCAGTTGGATCGCAGGAATATTAATCGATTCAGTGGATGAATCGTTACACCCCTAACTGTAATATATAAATCTGTTCTCTTCAGGTTGGTGTCAAATCAAATGGAAGTTGCTTCCCTGGGTCGACCTTTCACCCTCTGAATGCTCTATGATGCTCAAAGAGATGCACTGATCACAGGTAAGTCTGGATTACGCTGTTAATAAAATGATTCATCTGTATAATTGGACTGAAATCATTTTACTATTTAATCATCTCCTTTTTATCATCATTTATTATTCCCTATCTAATGAATTATCAAATGATTTTTAGTTCCACCACAAAGCTGTGAATTGTAGTTTTTAGAGAAGCATACTGTATTATTAGCTGATCATCATATGATTAATTAGACAAAGGAACTTTCTTAATGGTTTCGGTATTTCTTGCTAGTTAGCTGCCAAAGAAAAGTTCCGTGTTTACAGCACAGCTCGCTCGAAGCGTTCAATGTCGGTACGTAAAACGTTCAGTTTCAATCACCGAATGAAGCCGTATGTGGGACAAGAATCGCGACATTAATTTGCTTGCACAAAACTCTTGATCAGCATCAGTTTGTTGTTGTCGTTCATTTAAATCGCTTTGAGCAGAGATCACGTGTGTGCGAGCAAGAGATCTGCAGTCTTTGCCGTTTAGTTAATTTACATATTTTTGTGCAGGTAATATGTTGTTAAATAGGTTTAAACTTAAAACAATTACCTGTACAAGTAGTCATGTCTTGTTGTCTACATTTGTCCTGTTATTGACGCGCCTAATGCGCAACCAGATATTGGAATATATCCGTCCATCTTCAGCCGATTATCCGGGGTCGGGTCGCGGGGGCAACAGCTCCAGCAGGGGACCCCAAGCCTCCCTTTCCCACATCTACCAGCTCTGACTGGGGGATCTAAGGCGTCCCCAGGCCAGTGCAGAGACATAATCTCTCCACCTGGTCCTGGGTCTTCCCCGGGGCCTCTTCCCAGCTGGCCGTGCCTGAAACACCTCCCTAGGGAGGCGCCCAGGGGGCGTCCTCACCAGATGCCCAAACCACCTCAACTGGCTCCTTTCGACGCAAAGGAGTAGCGGCTCTACTCCGAGCTCCTCACGAATGGCTGAGCTTTTCACCCTCTAAGGGAGACGCCAGCCACTCTCCTGAGGAAACCCATTTCGGCCGCTTGTACCCGTGACCTAGTTCTTTGGGTCATGAACCATCCTTCATGACCAGAGGTGAAGGTAGGAACGAAGATTGACCGGTAGATCGAGAGCTTTGCCTTCCGACTCAGCTCTCTTTTCGTCACAACGGTGCGGTAAAGCGAGTGCAATACCGCCCCCGCTGCTCCGATTCTCCACCCAAACTCACACTCCATCTTCCCCTCACTGGTGAACAAGACCCCGAGGTACTTGAACTCCTTCACTTGGGGTAAGGACACATTCTCTACCTGGAGTAGGCGATCCATCGGTTTCCTGCTGAGAACCATGGCCTCAGATTTAGAGGTGCTGATCCTCATCCCGACCGCTTCACACTCGACTGCCAAACGCTCCAGTGAGAGTTGGAGGTCACAGACAGAAGATGCCATCAGGACCACATCATCTGCAAAAAGCAGCGATGAGATCCGCAGCCCCCCGAACCGTAGACCCTCCTCCCTTCTGTAGGCGTCAGAGACTCATGATGTTTGACAACAAGTTAAACTTCCACAATACGTCCAGAGAAACACAACTTGTTTTTATACGTCAACAAGTCAAGTTTCATCCAAACAAAACCTGAAGTGAGGAACTTTAAGATGAAAACACTTGGTCACATTCAGGCACATTTTACTGTATGCAAGCAGGCTTCTTTACTGCCTGTTCTTACCCACAATCCTTTGCACAGCAGGTATGAGCCATGGGGTTGAGGAAGTAGCACGAAGCCTCAGTAGAATCCTGAATGTAACAGCGTGTACTTTGTGAGGAAGCGGCAGTTTGTCATGAAGGTAAAAGGTTTAACACGCAGCTTCAGACTGATACGAGTAAGTTGTTCCGCCCAAACAGGTTCAACCAGATCCTCAAAGTGGAGAGAAGAATAAAAACACTCTGACTCTGTCGTCTTAGTGGATGTTTTTATTCAACATAAACTCTTCACCACATTTGTTACAAAGGTTTCTGCTTCATCACGTGTTCCCTACTAGTCGAGGACCTTTGACCTTTGTGAACACGGCTCACACTGACACTCAGTCACCCAGTCAGACCGCATACTTTGATGGTGACGTGAGGACACACCCTCTCTGATGAAGGACAACAAGCTCCAACAAGCTGCGTCGCTTCACACCGTCTGATGGAAGCTGAAGTGAAGCACGGAGCTCCTTTTCTACACGGACCTGCTGAGGACAGAAGAGAGCTGCTCACTGAGGAAGTTCATGTCTACAAGCTCAGTAAGTGCAGCTGTGATTGGTTGAATGACATCATTGATGGTTGTGAACGTGTGATTGTTTAAAGCTGGGAAACAAGATGGCGCCTGTGTGAGCAGGCAGAGAGGAGCTGCTGTTGGTCTGAATGATGAAGAAGAGGAGCTCAGTCTGATCTGGGGTCTGTGAGGACTGTGACTGATGAGGAGGGGAAGGTAGCAGACGGAGGGGCACTAGGACCCAGCAGGGACCACAGAGCTCACCTGGGCCTTTGTTCCTGAAACACACCTGAGAGACGCTCTGTTTGTCTCACCTGCTGCTTCAGTCCTTTAAGTCCACAAAGCTTCATGTTCACTTCTTCATCTGCTTTAAACACATTTAGTCACTTTTTAGTGTTTGAATGTGTTTGTTTTCTTTAGTTTTCAGTTTTTCTCTCATTGATCAGCAGGTCGTAGTCGACCTTTTACTAACTGATCACATGGTGAAGTGAATCGTCCCATCAGGAGAAAGCTTCCCCATGTTACCATGGTAACCACCATGTGTCCTATGAGGACAGCTACATGTCCTCTCTCTGGACTCTGAAGGAGATCAAGAGAAGAAACGGCACAGCTCCATCTGCTGGACGATGAGTGATGATGTTCATCTTTATAATACGGGTGAAT